GGAATATCCCACCATGTGTCCTTTTATATATCGGTATATATTAAACTTAACACCCGGAATATCCCACCATGTCTCCATTTATATATCGGTATATATTAAACTTAACACCGGAATATCCCACCATGTCTCCATTTATATATCGGTATATATTAAACTTAACACCAGGAATATCCCACCATGTCTCCATTTATATATCGGTATATATTAAACTTAACACCAGGAATATCCCACCATGTGTCCTTTTATATATCGGTATATATTAAACTTAACACCAGAAAAGTTTGTTCAGCCTTTTTGCTGAGACAATTGAATGTTGTCAACTACTTGTCAACTGTATATAAGCTATTAACATTATCAAGGATTGTTTCAGTGTGAGGGGAGGTGGGGTAGCCAGAATGGTTCAAAGCGTTGCTTCGCTTACTATCGCCCTAAGACCGGGTTGAATCCCCACATGGGTACAATGTGTGAAGCCCATTTCTGGTGTCCCCCGCCGTGATGTTGCTGGAATATTGCTAAAAGCGGCGTAAAACTCAGTCAGTCAGTCAGTCAGTCAGTTTCAGTGTGAGCTGATCAGACCAAACATTGTTTTACAGCATAAAGTCTTGTGATAAGCTAGCACTAATCATGTCCATGAATGTCAGCAGCTACTGTATTGGTTTAAATTATTGCCTTTTCGTGGGGCTAAAACTTCATGATCAATGTGTTCCAAATGTGAGATTTAACTGTCTCTGAAGACCTTTTGCCCCACATGTTGTCAGCATTATCTGTTCACTGTGCAGAGTTATGTCCCTTGCCAATGCCAGACTCTGGGTTCCCAATCAATCAGCACCATGTCTATGATTGTGTTTTTCACAAATCTTGTGACTTACAACCCTTCAGGTTTTTCATTCATGCCAAGTTATTCAACTGGAAGTGGTGATATTTGCCATTTTACTTCTTAATTAATTAGTAATTCCTTAAGATGTATGTGAGATTTCTTCCCAATTTAAAATGAGACTCTCTTGATATGCTATTGTAGAAATTGACAAATGTTACTGGTCTATAAATACATGGTAATAGAAAACACTTGAGCCGCACACCAATTGTTCTCAAGTAACTTCAACCTCTATTTCTCATTAACTAAATTGGGTGGTTGGGCATTAGCACTCCATACCAAAGATCCACATGAGTACAGTGTGTGAAGCCCATTTCTGGTGTCCCATTTGGTGATATTGATGGAATATTGCTAAATGCAGCATAAAACCATACTTGCTCAGTAATTCCATGAATCTTCTATTATTACTTTAACTTTGATGCTCTGAAGTATGTATTTGTTTCTGTACTGTCAAATGGTCTTTCTGTTTGTGTATCTGCATGTATAGATATTAAATGATGTAGAACCCATGATACCCTGTGTATTTCATTTGTCCAACAGGACCCAGAACCTCATGTTTGTTGAGTCCTTGAAGGGATGGAAGGGCCAAATGTTTGTTTCTCTTGCAGCTTTCAGTGGCATATAGGCCCATTGAAACCTGTACTTGATATTCTTTTAGGATGTAAAAGTCAAAATGTTTCCCAAGAACCCATGTTTGCTTCTTCTTTAGTAGGGCCCTGGTTCGATTCCCCACATGGGTACAGTTGGTGAAGCCCATTTCTGGTGTCCTCCGCCATGATATTGCTGGAATATTGCTAAAAGTCACTCTTCTTTAGGTCTTGAAGTGGGACCCTAGTGCCCAAAAGCTTGTTTTGCTTTTGGCTGCAATCTGCCAAGTAGCCCTGCAGAACCCAGTGGTGGGATGCATCGGACCCTAGAATTTCATACTGGTTTATCTTGTCTCTTAAAGGCAACACTATGCTTGATACCTTGCCGGGATGCACTGACTCAAAGGGACTCCAGAATCCCATGTTTGTTTCGTCTTGGGATGCAGAAGTCAATCAAGACCCCAAAATACCATGCCTGTGGTTAAAAAGATTCCCCAAGGTGTTTTGTGAAGGGAAGCAAACGCCCAATAGGTCCCCAAACCCACGTTGGGTTTGTGAAGGAAAGCAAACGCCCAATAGCTCCCCAGAACCCATGTTTGGTTTGTGAAGGAAAGCAAACGCCCAATAGCTCCCCAGAACCCATGTTTTGTTTGTGAAGGGAAGCAAACACCCAATAGCTCCCCAGAACCCATGTTTGGTTTGTGAAGGGAAGCAAACACCCAATAGCTCCCCAGAACCCATGTTTGGTTTGTGAAGGGAAGCAAACGCCCAATAGCTCCCCAGAACCCATGTTTTGTTTGTGAAGGGAAGCAAACACTCCAATAGTCTCCCAGAACCTATGTTTGGTTTCTGAAGGGAAGCAAACGCCCAATAGGTCCCCAGAACCCATGTTTTGTTTGTGAAGGGAAGCAAACACCCAATAGGTCCCCAGAATCCATGTTTGGTTTGTGAAGGGAAGCAAACACCCAATAGCTCCCCAGAACCCATGTTTGGTTTGTGAAGGGAAGCAAACGCCCAATAAGTTCCCAAACCCATGTTTTGTTTGTGAAGGGAAGCAAACACCCAATAGGTCCCCAGAACCCATGTTTGGTTTGTGAAGGAAAGCAAACGCCCAATAAGTTCCCAAACCCATGTTTTGTTTGTGAAGGGAAGCAAACACCCAATAGCTCCCCTGAACCCATGGTTGGTTTGTGAAGGGAAGCGAACGCCCAATAGGTCCCCAGAACCCATGTTTTGTTTGTGAAGGGAAGCAAACGCCCAATAGGTCCCCAGAATCCATATTTGGTTTGTGAAGGGAAGCAAACACCCAATAGGTCCCCAGAACCCATGTTTGGTTTATGACTGACTGACTGACTGAGTTTGGTTTTACGCCGCTTTTAGCAATATGCCAGCAACATCACGGCGGGGGACACCAGAAATGGGCTTCACACATTGTGCCCATGTGGGGATTCGAACCCGGGTCTTCGGCGTGACGAGCCAACGCTTTATCCATTAGGCTACCCCACCGCCCCGTTTGGTTTATGAAGGGAAGCAAACGCCCAATAGGTCCCCAGAAGCCATGGTTGTTTTGTGAAGGGAAGTAAACGTCCAATAGGTCCCCAGAACCCATGTTTGGTTTATGAAGGGAAGCAAACGCCCAATAGGTCCCCAGAACCCATGGTTGGTTTGTGAAGGGAAGTAAACGTCCAATAGGTCCCCAAACCCATGTTTGGTTTGTGAAGGGAAGCAAACGCCCAATAGGCCCCTAAACCCATGCTGTTTCTGTGAAAGGTTGCAAATGCCCAATAGGCACTCAGAACTCCATGCTTGGCTTTGGGAGGGAAGCAAGCGCCCAACAGGTCCAATTGGGAAAAGAGGTTCGTTGGACCTGCTGAATATTTCTGTACACCTTGAAGTGCAGGAAAACGTCCCTGTCCTTCTCCCTGCCTATGCAATTCAAATCTGGGGCAGCAGTTGATTCAAATCTTGACTTCACTTGCACGGGGCGTTTAAAATACCAGGACCACTGTTACCATGGTTACAAGAAAATATAATGAAACATGCCAAGGTCATTCCTCTGTCTGAAACTTTCCAGATGCTGCCTTGATTACGTACTCACCCCCTGTGGTACTAAAGTGAACAGGCGAGAGTCCGACATATTCCTGAATGGCTGGACTTAGTTGATGCATGTCATGGTATCCAAATTGCGTAGACCGATGCTCAAGCTTTGATCACTGGATTGGCAGGTCCAGACTCGATTACTTACAGACCGCCTTTAGTTAACTGGGATATATTAAACAACAAACGAACTCGAGTACTCAAAACCCGAGTTGACCATTCAGTTACTAGATCGTCTTATTTCTAAGCCATTTTAAATTAACAGTATAACGAACGTGGCATCGCAGAACGTCCGTAGATTTAAAATCAGCATCAACCCTTGTTAAAATAGATGTGAAGGGAATTTCAGAGAGAAAATGTTTAACGCCAAACGTGCCAACAGATGTGAAGTCCATTCCTGGTGTTCCCAATCATATTGCTGGAATTTTGCGAAAACCTGAGTAAAATCCAACCATCTCACTCACTCACTCACTAAAGATTACGATCATTATGTAATGCTGGGGAGTGTTTAATGGATCGGGGCGGTGGGGTAGCCTAAGGGTTAAAGCGTTGGCTCGTCACGCCGAAGACCCGGGTTCGAATCCTCACATGGGTACAATGTGTGAAGCCCATTTCTAGTGTCCCCCGCCGTGATGTTGCTGGAATATTGCTAAGAGCGACGTAAAACCAAACTCGGTCAGTCAGTTTAATAGATCAGGCGAAGAAAACAGCTCTTCAGACAACCTCACCTTTAAATGCGATAAACAGCTGTCCAGGCTCGACCAATTGCTTAGAGACCGCCGTCATATAACTGGGACACTGCCGAAACAGCTCAAGGTAATGTCGAAACTGCTGCTCCCGACTCTTACTCGTACCGTTAACTGCTGACTACACCAGGCACACGTTTATTCCTGGTTAAATATCCCTCATGGAACATACGTGTATATAAACATCGCTTCTAATTGCGATTTGTAGACTTAATTGTTTACAGCACGGGGGCTTGTAACGCTAAAATCTGCCATCAAGGTGTATACTGTCACTATAGTGCTGAGACCCCGTTAGTGACAGTATATACATTGATGGCAGATTTTAGCGTTACAAGCCCTAGTGGTTTACAGACCGCCGTTATAAAGCCAGAATACAGGTACAGTCGAAACTGCTGCCCCCGACTCTCTTGTTCCTTCCGTTAATGGCTGACTACACCAGAGTTAAACATTTGGTTTGGTTTGCTTGTTGTTTTACGCCGCACTCAGCAATATCCCAGCTATATGGCGGCGATCGGCAAATACCAGGGTCTGGACCAGACAATCCAGTGATCAACAGCATGAGCATCGATTTACGAAACTGTGATACGATGACATGTGTCAACCAAGTAAGCGGGATTACGACAGGCAAGGGTTGATGAAGATCAATTCTAACCCGGATCTTCATGGGTGGAGAGTTGAAAAATCCAACATGTAACATAAATGTAAAAATATATATTATACCTCAAACTTCCACCTTAGTACAAGAGTTACACAGGGCATACCAGTTCTTATCACGAAGTGTGATCGCGTCTTTCACAATCTGTGGAACGCCAAACGATTCCACACCCGTAATCTTCCCACCTAGACGTCGTCTGATATTCTTCACACACACGTCCTTCAGCGTACGTGGATTCGTCGCGATGACCTTGAACCGATTGATCATGTCAGACCAGGGGACGTCACTGACGTCGTCCATGCATGGAGACAGAGCCTCGACGGGATTATGGCCTGACGCTACAAGAAGTTCAGCTAGAGCGATGGTTGCCTCATCTTTAGGACCGTCATTCCTGATCAAAACTGCAAATGGAGTTCGCCCAGAGCTGTCAGTTTTGTGTACAGTGACGTTGACGTCGACTATTAAGTAATGAGCGACGTTGTAGAGGTGGTACCAAATTGCTTGGTGAAGAGGGGTGTTTCCAAAACTCTCAGCTATCTCAGGGTCTGCCCCATAGGATGTCAACAGTTTCAGCATGTCTGTCTCACCTGAGAGTATGCCTTCTATGAACGGTGTTTCGCGGTCGTAGCTGATCTCATTAACGTCGGCGCCAGCTTCGAGCAAAGCACGTGCAGTGCTCGTGAACCCTCCACGTGCAGCTGTGTGAAGGGGTGTGTAGTCATACGCTGGATTGATGTAAGCATCCGGGTTATATGCAACAAGGAAGTCCAAGATTTCGGGACATTTGCTATCAGCTGCAGCCCTGAATATGACATCCTCTTCCCTTGTATCACCATGGGCCCCAGCCTGCACCAAATACCTAGCAACATTCACCAGAAGCTGAGCCCCGGTTCCAAACCTACGACTCCTTGCCGTCCAGTGTAGCGGGGAAAAGTGTGCCTCCCTGTTAACATCAACGCCATACTCCTCCACAAGGACTTTGACAACGGCGACATGTCCCATTTCGCATGCAAGGTGAATAGGGCTGCATTCCGAAAATCCTTCGTGACAACTATGTTCATTTCTATCAAAACCCTCGGAAATGAGGTATCTCACCACGTCCACGTGTCCCCGGTAAGCAGCTTCGCCGACAGCACGGAGGAGACAGTTCCGATAGGTGCTTTTGACACTCCTGTAGTAATTCTTGGGTTTGATCGCGTTTACTGTTACGTGCTTCGCCACCAGGTACTTGTCTCCAGTCCTTATCAGATTATGGAACTGCTTTACACTCCTTCCTCTATCCCGTGGCATTGTCATCCACTATTGACGGAACAACCTGTAAAGTAGACACCTAGGTTCGTTAGGGCTGTTCCGAAAACTAGCGACTGGCCTTAAATAGCTAGACGTTTGGAAATAACCTTGAATGACCTATCATATATCATGTGTGACAAGAATGTTATAAAATATACTCCTGATGATGCAACAGATAAGAACTGTCAAACTGGGTCTTTGAACGGCGGCGTTCAGAAGTGATACACATAAAGGCATGAATATATAGATGTCACCTATTATATTTGAGGAACACGACGTTTCGGAGTATGTTCTCACTCCTTCATTCTCCTGATGAATGAGTTAGAATATACTCCGAAACGTCGTGTTCTCATCAAATAGAGAAGTTGACATCCATAAATCCATGCCTTTATCTAATCGGGTCAGGGTCACAAAAAGCCAGCTGATGCAATATACAAACATACACACACGCACTAACAGAGAGAGAGAGAGGAGAGAGAGAGAGAGAGAGAGAGAGAGAGAGAGAGAGAGAGAGAGAGAGAGAGAGAGAGAGAGGCTTTTGCTTAGAGAGAGAGAGATTTTGCTTACGAGAGAGAGAGAGAGAGAGAGCTTTTGCGAGAGAGAGCTTACCGAGAGAGCTTTGCTTACCGAGAGAGAGAGAGCTTTTGCTTACCTTAGAGAGAGAGAGGAGAGAGAGAGCTTTTGCTTACCGAGAGAGAGAGAGCTTTGCTTACCGAGAGAGGGAGAGACAGAGAGAGAGCTTTTGCTTACCGAGAGAGAGAGAGAGAGAGAGAGAGAGAGAGAGAGAGAGAGAGAGAGAGAGAGAGAGAGAGAGAGAGAGAGAGAGAGAGAGAGAGAGAGAGAGAGAGAGCACGGGGACACCAGGAATGGGCTTCACATATTGTTCCCATGTGGTGAATCCAACGCTTAAACTACGAGGCTACCCCGCCGCCTCCTCTCATTGAGAATAAACAAACATGGGTTCTTGGGACACACTATTGACTTTTACATCCTAAAGGAATATCGAGTACAGGTTTCAATGGGCCTATATGTCCTTGAATCCCGAAAGAGGAACAAGCATTTGGCCCTTCCATCCTTTCAAGGACTCAACAAACATGAGGTTCTGGGTCCTGTTGGACAACTGAAATACACAGGGTATCATGGGTTCTACATCATTTAATATCTAAACATGCAGATACACAAACAGAAAGACCATTTGACAGTACAGAAACAAATACATACTTCAGAGCATCAAAGTGTTTTTGCTTTTTTGTAATGTAAATTTTATTTCTGAATCCCTGTTACAGTCAAAACTAAGCAGCCAGGGGACAGCTCAGTCCGAAGATATACAGTAATTTAATGGGGTACAGGTGGAAATTTTTACGAAACAAGACAATCCATTCACTCACCATTCACACAAATACAAGATTATTTTAAATTATCAAACATATTAGGAATATAATTAATTCAGTCGTCTTTGAACAATCCATGATATAAGCGCCATTTCGAATAAAATTCGGCGTTACAGCTTTTGTTAAAGAAAATACATTTTCAATACTATATCTCAATCTCAACTCACTTCTGAACTGAGCAATATTTGGTAAAACAGAATTGAGCTTGCATTTGTACAAGTAATATTTTCCCAATGATATGAATAAGTCAAAACAGAGTCAGTAAAAACATTTTTCTTACAGCCAAACATTATCAGTTCCATAGTGAGATTGAGATCATGGATGTGGTCACAACCTTCTGTTAACCATGATAAAAAAAAAATTGACCAAAAGGTTTGCACAAATTCACATTTCCATAACAAGTGACAAATAGATTCCTTTTCTTCATTACAGAATGAACATAAGTCAGAATCCTTTATTTTAATTTTTTAAAGAAGTGTAGTTAAAATTCTATGGAGTATCCTGTACTGGAACCATCTCAATTTAGTGTCTTGTGTTGATTTAAACGATTTTAGGAAAATACAGTTCCAGTCAAGACCACACTTAAAATCCTCTTGCCACTTTAACTGTGCAGAGCATCAAAGTTAATGGTGACACAGTGACAATAGTCTGTGAAAAGTCATGGAATTACTGAGCTAGTATTGTTTTACGTCGCTCTTAGCAATATTCCAGCAATATCGCCGACTGGGACACATCAGAAATGGGCTTCACACATTGTGCCCATGGGGAATCGAACCCGGGATTTCTACGCTTTAACCATTAGGCTACCCCACCGCCCGACTGCACCTGATAACTGCAATAGCCTTTACTGTCAACACAACCGTTGCTGTTGCGGAACTACGATGTATATAGCCCTCCATGTCATGGACTTTGATCACTGCAGCACAGACTTAAGGGACCGTTCATAATTTATGGCTAGGGGGATGATGATTTTTATGGAGAAGCATGTAAAAATTTATGTACAAAATAAGTGACCCGCCTGCATGTTATGTACAAATTCAATGACCCCCTCCCCTCCCCATAATTTTCTAAGCATAATTTTAAACATATTTTTATGTACATAATTGCTTACCTCTCTAGTTCGTGTATACAAAATAGATGACACCCCTAGCTCCCCAGAACAAAATGTGTGACCCCCCTTAAAGTCATCATCATCTCTAAAGCCGGGACTCTTACGATATCTAGATTTGGTACAAACCTGTATATCACGCACGAGATTGATTTTACTTCAAGACATATTCACGATACAGTCACGATTCTCGGTGCGGTTTGTGATGGGATTTGACCCTGACGTACACACATACAAACACTTCTCTAGTATATCGGGGCGGTGGGGTAGCCTAGTGGTTAAAGCGTTGGCTCGTCACGCCGAGGACCCGGGTTCGAATCCCCACATGGGCACAATGTGTGAAGCCCATTTCTGGTGTCCCCCCGCCGTGATGTTGCTGGAATATTGCTAAAAGCGGCGTAAAACCAAAACTCAGTCAGTCAGTCTCTAGTATATCCAGTCCACATACTACCTGACCTAGTTATCTCCGAAAATCCGGTCAGCTATCAATTGCGATGTTAGGTATTTAAAGTAATATTTATCAGTTGAACATGTTGACGTGAGTTGTTTACATGGCATAAGAAACTATCAAGATCATATCGAGAAATCATACAGAACAAGACAGTTAGTAAATGTGCTATATCTACATTTACCGATGGAAGGTCAGCAAGCTCTCTGCAGTCGTCACTGCTCGCCTTAAGGTAACTGCACTAATATACCACCAGCAACCAATGGTATGTGTGGATGGATATATACGACTGACCAATCAGGACGCGCATTACTTTACTAAAATACTTTGGAGTAATGAAATCAGTTTTTGCAACACGTGTGTTGTATAAATTAGATTATACATTACTTGTCAGAGTGAGAGATCCAAATACATAAAGTTGGTTTGTTTGTTGTTTACGCCGCACTCAGCAATTTTCCAGCAATATAACGGCGGTATGTAAATAATCGAGTCTGTTTCATTTCTTTCAACTGACAATATTTAAGAGATTACAAGATAACAGCGACATTAAAGACGTAGCCTGATGTTTGTCAGAAAGTTCACATCACATTCACCGTATTGATATTAAATTTCACAGGACATTTCCACCATCTAATTGAAAATATTCCTAAGTGCGGCGTTAAACAACAAAGTTTCAAACATCTAAAGTTTCGAAACAACAATTACAAAAAATGCAGATTTTCAATAAACAGTGTTAATGGTAGTGTGCCCATAATATATGAAAATGGTTAAAGCAATATACGAATTTACAGAGTGGTATAAATAAATGAATGAATGAATGAATGAATGAATATACATTAACAAATGAAATTCACCACTGCCTCGTCGATTACTTATATTCTTAAATATATCATAGATAAAGTCATTATATTACATAGCATGAGTAAGAGTACAAGGTGCGAAATATCCGCAGGTGCAATATCAATTTGTGTATTTCATATCAGTTGGTTAAACTATTGTGGAATTATATTTATACATTATGTAACCAGTACGGTAACACGCAAATGCCACGTGTGAAACGTGCTATTGCTATAGACTCAGGCTAGAATCGAAGAAAACGCGTCTATTGCTTATCCACAGTTAGCTATTAGTACTTTTATTACCGTATTCATTCTAATAATCGTTGTGTTCTGAAAATATAAGGGTGTTCCTAGAAGCTCTTTTCGTACAGTATTAATGCCGACATTCAACACGACTTAGCGTTATGTGGCTGCACTATGGTCAAAACAGTCCAATAATCCCTTCCTCGAAGTGATCGTAGTGGTAAGGTGAACTCATATTTAACATAGACTCACGACTGACATATTGAGCTATGCGATCACTTTTTGGAACGTGGTAATGTCGATTATTTGGGCATCTATTTAGTAAAAGTTTAAAACAAAGAATACTGAAATATGTAAATCACTTTCGTTATTTTCATTATTTGAAAGATATAGCGATGTTGCACAACGTTGGTTCATTCGTCGATGGAAATGTTTTCCTTGGGATATATTTGTATATTTATGAGCCGCTTCTTTCAGTTTACTTTGTTTCAGGCGAACAACAACTGAAAGTCACAAAGGAAAAATGCGCATGATATTGTTATACATCTTGAGTGAGTGAGTTTAGTTTTACGCCGCACTCAGCAATATTCCAGCTATATGGCGGCGGTCTGTAAATAATCGAGTCTGGACCAGACAATCAAGTGATCAACAGCATGAGCATCGATCTGCGGATACATCGTGACAATGTTTAATGTTCAAAGTGTAGGACAGTTAAAAGTACGAGTTTGCAAGGCAAAATGTCTGAGGAAACAGAAAAAGAAAGCTAAACCAAACTGGAATGTTTATTTTCCTTTCCCACGAAAGACATTTTCAAACAATATTCAAATTGCAGCATTACAGCATGGGCTAGGTGTGACAAAGCGTTTTAAAATATGTCTGATATGTCATTATGAGTACAGTCAACAATCGTAGTCGACATACACGCATACGCACTTACGCACCCACATAAGCACTGGTCCATTAGTGGCATGTGATAAAACACGGCGTATTTCCGACAGAGTCCGTATTTCACCCTTGATCCTGTCGCAAGTACGGAAAGACTTCTGCTCGTATCCCCCCTTTAATTTCATACTAGTCAAATCATATATATCACCTGAATATATAATTCCTCATCTGATAAGGATGAGTTCTAACATGTTTCTTTAATTGTATCGTAACATACTGAAAGACATATCCAACTTCTAAAGATGCCACTCAAAGAAATTGTTCCTCGTCGTAAAACCAGGGAGGCTATATAAGGCCCTGTTGTAGAGTATTCCTGGTAAAACTTTAGGAGGATACTGGGGGGGTGGGGTCCTACCGCAGGTACATTTACAAAATCCAGTTTCAGATCATATTTCCGTAGAATACATGAGCGAGTGAACTTTGAATCCCATCTATATCACGGTGTGTCAACTAATGTAGGAGGAGACCCCGCAGTCTCCGACCTTTACCACTTTAGTAAAACCCAAGAGCATCATCAAAATGATCATCGAGGCGAACCGGGATTCGACTCAGGACCATAGGCTTTAGGCGCGTCCAAGCGTTTCATCAGACGAGCCGCGGCGTATTAGGCAGACGGCGAATCAGACGACTTAGGGCCACCTGTGCCCCCAAATACATGGCTTATTAAATTTCATATTTCGCCTATTTAAAACGTTGACGGAATCGGGGATAAAACTGTGTGGGTCTCTATTATTTATATTTGCTGAATCATACAGACGACAAAAAGGACTCCCTGTTATGGAAACATGACCCCCGGCCTTCTCGATCTGTTGTATGGATGGTGTTTATTCATGAATGTGGCTGGGTCAAACCTCGGCGTGATGCTGGGCAACACAGACTTTCCCCCCGTGTATAACTGAACAGTCAGCGGTATAAAGTACACATATATAGTCGGAGTGAGTGCATGTTACGCCGGAATCTGCAATACTCCAAATGTATGATGATCGGTTTGTCTCATGGGCAGTTACTGAGGCTTGATAAGTAATGTCATGGTCTGTTATTGAGTCTGATACGTAATATGTCATGGTCTGTTATTGAGGTGGGGTGGTGGGGTAGCCTAGTGGTTAAGGCTTTCGCTCGTCACCCCGAGGACCCGGGTTTGATTCCCCACATGGGTACAATATGTGAAGCCCATTTCTGGTGTCCCCCGCCGTGATATTGCTGGAATATTGATAAAAGCAGCGTAAAACTAAACTCACTCACTCACTTATTGAGTCTGATACGTACTGTCTCGTGCAGTTACTAACTCTGATGCGTACTTTCTTATGTACAGGTATTGAGGCCAGATGGGTAATGGGTCATGTTCTGTTATTGAGGTCTGATATGTACCGTGTCATGTTCTGTTATTGAGGTCTGATACGTACCGTGTCATGTTCTGTTATTGAGGTCTGATACGTACCGTGTCATGGTCTGTTATTGGGGTCTGATACGTACCGTGTCATGGTCTGTTATTGGGGTCTGATACGTACCGTGTCATGTTGTTATTGAGGTCTGATACGTACCGTGTCATGTTCTGTTATTGAGGTCTGATACGTACCGTGTCATGGTCTGTTATTGGGGTCTGATACGTACCGTGTCATGGTCTGTTATTGGGGTCTGATACGTACCGTGTCATGTTCTGTTATTGAGGTCTGATACGTACCGTGTCATGGTCTGTTATTGGGGTCTGATACGTACCGTGTCATGTTCTGTTATTGAGGTCTGATACGTACCGTGTCATTTTCTGTTATTGAGGTCTGATACGTACCGTGTCATGGTCTGTTATTGGGGTCTGATACGTACCGTGTCATGGTGTTATTGGGGTCTGATACGTACCGTGTCATGGTCTGTTATTGAGGTCTGATACGTACCGTGTCATGGTCTGTTATTGGGGTCTGATACGTACCGTGTCATGTTCTGTTATTGGGGTCTGATACGTACCGTGTCATGTTCTGTTATTGAGGTCTGATACGTACCGTGTCATGTTCTGTTATTGGGGTCTGATACGTACCGTGTTATGTTCTGTTATTGAGGACTGATATGTACCGTGTCATAGTCTGTTATTGGGGTCTGATACGTACTGTGTCATGTTCTGTTATTGAGGTCTGATACATACTGTGTCATGAGCTTCCATGAAAGTACGGTCTTCTTGTTGTTGTTGAACAAAACAAACAAATGTTCTTCTTGTCATCACTGTTTATTTCGAACAGGTCATGACGTGTACCCTTTCTGTTATGATGAGCAACACTGTCCCTAAATAAACAAACAGACAATTAAACAAAACGATGCTTAAAATGTAAGATATCGAGGCTTTCAACACAACAATAAAACAATGCTTAAAATATTTCATCACTGGCCCTCAACACAAAGAAGCGATGCTTAAAAATATTTTTACTTGCCCTCAACACAACAACAAAGCGATGCTAAACATTTCAGCAAATAATAAGTACATCAGGAAAACATGGATTGGCGGATGAGATGAAAAATGGGGTTTCACGTCGCCTTCAAGATTGTGACATGCATGCACGTGTGTCTGTTGTACTAGTTTGGACTTACGCCAGTGTACTGGTCCACTCAGATCATGCGGCGATTTAACATGAATCCCCCACCCAGACCAGTTTTTGTTCCATCCCCGTAATGCCGTGTGCAAGGCAGGGTAACAACAAGTACCATCTTTATCAACATTTTAGTTAAGTATAACCAAACTCTGGGATCGAACCTTCTATCTACTAGACCACGGAGGGGAGATAGATGAATGGATGGAAATGCTACGGAGATAAATATAAAATAATATCTATCCATATTATGACAGCACCACATTAAAATATGCATAAACTTATTTTGAACCAAAGCTAGAAACACTGGAAGCAACACTTGTCATTGTAGGGGCGAGAGGGCAGTCAAGAGTTGCTCCTCACGCTGAAGACTCGGGTTCGAATCCCCACATGGGTACAATGTGTGAAGCCTATTTCTGGTGTCCCCCGCCGTGATATTGCTGAAATATTGCTAAAAGCGGCGTAAAACCATACTCATACACTTATCATTGTATGGGTTTTAATGAAAGAACTTTAACTGGGACATGTATATTGAAGAATAAATGTATTTATATAAAATACTTTAAAATTGTATTTCACTACTTGTACATTGTTTATATTTGTATCTTCTTGTACAATAATATTGTTATGGCTTGATCTAAGAAGTGTACGTGTAGAACGTTAAGATTTAATCTAACATTTGGTCGCCAACACCTATAGATTACACCCTCCATTCACGTTGTATATCAAGTCCGTGCTTTTAGTATCGGGTAAAGAAATCTACAAAAGTGGTCAAAATAGCTGCCACACTAAGAATGATAACCTTGAAAATCTTATTAAGTCCTGCACGTTCAGTGATGTAAATATTTCAAGTAGATGTTGAAATATTTCGAATGAACATTTTGTAATTGTTCAAACGGCTGCATTAATTTTGAGGCTTCAGCATGTATGCAAAACATAAATAGATTACTGAAATACTTTTTCAACCTACTCACATACGAAACGTCACTGTCTGCAAAAAGCGTGTGGTGCAAAATGTTCTTTTCAATGTCGTTTATATCCGTGAAGATCCGGGTTAGAATTGATCTTCAGCAATCAATGCTTGTTGTAAGAGGCGATTAACAGGATCGGGTGGTCAAGCTCGCTGACTTGGTTGACACATGTCATCGTATCCCAATTGCGTAGATTGATGTTCATGGTGTTCATCACTGTATTGGTCCAAACTCATTTACAGACCACCGCCATATAGCTGGAATATTGCTGAGCGCGTTGTGTCCATATTGAAGAACTAGTCAAGGACACACCAGTTCAACATAAATATATATATGTACTTACTATCTTTGCCACACTGAATATATGACAGCAGAAACAGGTAAAAGACAAATATGTCAGCCATTATGATGTCACTTCCTGTCTGTAAATCTGATCCTCACTGGGTGTTTTGGCACAAGAAATAGTTTTGAAATGATTTCGACCGGTTTATCTTCATCTAGCTTGAGCTCAAACCGCTGGATGATCTAGACAAATGATATAAGTCTGCGTGAGACATTTATATATATATATAAATGATAGAACATAAGTCATGCCATCCTTTAAAATATTTTAGCTTCATATGCCGAAAAAACGTTCAGACAAGACGCTGAAATGAGATAGTTACAGCCTTCGATCAGCTTCGAATTTCAAAGAGAAATTGACAGTTGATGGGGAAAACGCCAAACGCCATAAGCTCAGTTGAACATTCAGTTTACAGCTAAAATAATATCACTCACAAGGGACACGAGCGTCTGGATTTCCATTTCAGCAATCCGGCGTCCTGGAAAACATTCAACATTCTAACAAGATGCTTGGACAGATCCGCAAGTCAGTCTTAGTGCAGAGCATGTGTTGCAGTAGCGTGAACTGATAAAGAACATATATATCTTAGTACAGGCATGGGCCGGAGAAGCATAAACTAATAAAGAACATGTACATCTTAAGTACAGGGCATGGGCCGGAGAAGCATAAACTAATAAAGAACATATATATCTTAGTACAGGGCATGGGCCGGAGAAGCATAAACTAATAAAGAACATGTACATCTTAGTACAGGGCATGGGCCGGAGAAGCATAAACTAATAAAGAACATGTACATCTTAGTACAGGGCATGGGCCGGAGAAGCATAAACTAATAAAGAACATGTACATCTTAGTACAGGGCATGGGCCGGAGAAGCATAAACTAATAAAGAACATGTACATCTTAGTACAGGGCATGGGCCGGAGAAGCATAAACTAATAAAGAACATGTACATCTTAGTACAGGGCATGGGCCGGAGAAGCATAAACTAATAAAGAACATGTATATCTTAGTACAGGGCATGGGCCGGAGAAGCATAAAACTAATAAAGAACATAAACTAATATATATCTTAGTACAGGGCATGAGCCGGAGAAGCATAAACTAATAAAGAACATGTATATCTTAGTACAGGGCATGGGCCGGAGAAGCATAAACTAATAAAGAACATGTATATCTTAGTACAGGGCATGGGCCGGAGAAGCATAAACTAATAAAGAACATGTATATCTTAGTACAGGGCATATATCCGATGGGCCGAAGCATAAACTAATAAAGAACATGTATATCTTAGTACAGGGCATGAGCCGGAGAAGCATAAACTAATAAAGAACATGTATATCTTAGTACAGGGCATGGGCCGGAGAAGCATAAACTAATAAAGAACATGTATATCTTAGGGCATGAAGTATAAACTAATAAAGAACATGGAGAAGTATAAACTAATAAAGAACATGTATATCTTAGTACAGGGCATGGACCGGAGAAGCATAAACTAATAAAGAACATGTATATCTTAGTACAGGCATGGGCCGGAGAAGCATAAACTAATAAAGAACATGTATATCCTAGTACAGGGCATGGACCGGAGAAGCATAAACTAATAAAGAACATGTATATCTTAGTACAGGGCATGGACCGGAGAAGCATAAACTAATAAAGAACATGTATATCTTAGTACAGGGCATGGACTGGAGAAGCATAAACTAATAAAGAACATGTATATCTTAGTACAGGGCATGTGAACTGAAAAACAAAGTGTATAAGTATTATAAACGAGTGTATATCTTAGTATAAGGCATGTGTTTAAATCATTTAAACTATAAAGAATGTGATATCTTAGTACAGGACATGTTTGATTTGCAATGAACCAACAATTCACATGTGTATGTAAGTTTAGGACATGTTTGGGAGATGCGGAACTAAAATAGAATGTGTATATCTTAGTATATGGCATGTGTCAGAGTACCCCGATACAAAAAGGGCACATTTTCACTTTGAAAGCGCACAAACATGAACATTTCCACTATTAAAAGGTTATGCGTTATCTTCACAGGGCACAATGTTCATCATATAGAAGAGCACGTTTCTGCAGAGAGCACATGTCACTGATACAGCGGGGCACATGTCACTGATACAGCGGGGCACATCTGTGTCCATGTGCCACATGTCCACTATGCCAGTGGGTGCACTGGGAGCATGGCAATCCAACAAGAGATAAGTATGTGTACTGGGCTCATGAATGAATGTTATATGCCATATGGCGGCTAACTACAAATAATCGAGTCTGGACCAGACAAACCAGTGCTCAACAGCATGAAAATCGATCTACGAAATTGGGACATATGTCAGCCAAGTCAACGAGCCTGACCACCTGATCCTTAGTCGCTTCTTAGGACAAATATGGTTAGCTGAAGACCCATTCTAACCCGGATCTCCACGAGTAATGAATGTCCCAACGTCCGAGACGGGTGAGTGGAGGAAAGGGCTTTTAGCAATATTAGCAAACCAGCAATATCACGGCATTTGGAGGACAGGCTAGATTTTGTCAGGGGAGGCCAGTAATGGGCTTCACACTGGTGTAACCAATGTCACAGCAGGGGGGATTCGAACCCGGGCCTTTGGTGTAACGAACAAACGCTTTAACCACCAGACTACCACACTGTCCCAATGAATGAACGACTGATCATGGCTAACTGAATGGCTGAACTGTGTGAACTTGTAGTGACTAGGTATCTTTCCCTACTGATGATACAACTGATAATGCTATTTCATACATCGTATGCTACAACCTAGTCTAGTTATGAACTCACCAACACACATCCGAGGCCCGAACCTAGTCTAGTTATGAACTCACCAACACACATCCTAGGCCCGAACCTAGTCTAGTTATGAACTCACCAACACACATCCTAGGCCCGAACCCGAACGACAGAAATGTGTAGGGGTTGAGTTTCTGTCTCTCCTCCAAATTGTCCCTCATCCAGCGGTCAGGTTTGAAGGTCAAAGGGTCATCGTACACGGATTCTTGTCGTCCAAGGGCATACAACGCAACACTGACCATTGTCTAGCAACAAGATACAATACTGAATTACAAATAACGCTAAAAACATATGTTCGCTGCGATAAGTTTCTCATTTCGTATAATGCCTCTTTTGGTAAATAGATTTCCAAGGACAAGTTTGGGCTTTTTCGTGAAGAAAAGAAATGATAAAAAGTCGCTGTGTGAAGACTTCCCACGTACAGCGTAAGTGTCACCACAATTTTTTCGGGTGAGTGGAGTGAGTGAGTGAGTTTAGTTTTACGCCGCACTCAGCAATATTCCAGCTATACATATGGCGGCGGTCTGTAAATAATCGAGTCTGGACCAGACAATCCAGTGATCAACTTGGGGTAAGTGGATAATTGTGGGAGGGGGTATGGGTCGTTGTGGATGGGGGTCTTATCTTGTATAACCACGCACGAACGCACGCACGCACGCACACACACACACACACCGGTTATACCAGGGTGCTGTTGTACAAAACAACCTTAGTGCTAAGACTACGTAAAGTGTATGTTAAGGTATGGGAGTTACGGTCACCTTAGGTCTAAACTAGCCTTGTACAACGGCACACAGGTGGAGCCGCTTCCCCTCCACACATTTCTTCAGAATATATTACGGTATCTTTTAAAGACTCTGTGGTTTACAGGCTGCCGCCATTTAAGTTCAACCATATCTGATCGAGGCGTTTAAAACACAACCTTAGCGCTTCATAATGGCTGCATAATCACCCCCGCTGGCACGTGGTACCCCATGATGACATCGTCCTTGGGCATGTTCCTCATAATGACGCTACCTATCGGATACAGACTGAAACACAACATAGAGAAGATCGTCAGTGCCTAACATTATATCATGCTGAATTCAACACAAAACAGTTGGTTTCCAAAGAGCGGCATTCTATTACTGGTATTCATGATTAGCATTTGTTTGTTGTTTAATGCCGCGCTCAGCAATATTACAGCTATATGGCGGCGGTCTGTAAATAATCGAGTCTGGACTCGACAATCCAGTGATCACCAGCATGAGTACCGATCTACGCAGGACATTCATCAACCAAGTGAGCGAGCCTGACCACCTGATCCTGTTTATTATTCCCAAACAGAATTCTATAACTGCTCACTCACCGCAAGGTTTCTTTAATGACAGCCTTCAGGTACGGCATGTCGCGAAAGTGTATAGCGGTTGGTTTGACCCCAGGGGGCACAACTCGTTCCACTTCTTCCAGTAGTCTCCCTTGGATGTCTGGCTGCCTGGATACTTCATGCAACAGGAACTGAACTGTGTGTGACGTCTAAAAATATGATTGATAACCTCCTAATATTTTTAAAATTTACAGAGGCTCCAAAGATGAAAAGGAATATACCGAAGGGGGTAAAGTAAATTCCTGTTTCAAGCTGTTTTCTTCTGCAGCTCTTTAAAAACATTACTTTTCGTTACTTTTCCACAAGATATTTTATCTATGGACGGTTACAATTTCTTGAACCAAATGCCCTCATGAATTGATGAAGTGATGATGGCTCCGTAGGGATAGAGCGTTTCCCGGAAAGTGGAAGATTGGTAGTTCGAACCCCATGCCGCTTCAAGACAATAGAAACTAAAAGGTGCTTGTTGTTTCCCTGCCTGGTGCTCGGCAATATACGGTTGCATATTACTGAAACAAGTAAATGAACATCAGATTTTTTATCCGACAATACTTTGGCTTTTGCAACGCACGGACTTCTAGTTTTGTGTGTTCGTTGACTTATTCAAATTAGTATACAGTATAACGAAAGTTATTGAAGACTATGGAAGTCAGTCTTCAAGACCTTCAAGTGTACTCGAGACAAAACTGGTTCGAGGCTACTGGTTAGTCGGCGTCTTACGCTGTCAACTGCCGCCGCCATCAGCTGTGTTATGTTGGCGTACACCTCCTTTGGCGTCAACACCCCCTTGGCCAGCATCTGTTCCAGAACACCTGCATTCTCGTCTTCCGGTTTGTCAGCTATCTCCTGTATCTTCTGGTCAATACTTTCCTTTGCTGGAACAGTGACGTCAGTGACGAATGAACAGTTATGTGACAACATAAGAACGAACAGGTGTGTGGATCAAGCCAGGGGAGTGAATCTGGTTTAACGCCGCTGGGTACACTAGAAATGAGGATTCCACATAATACCCATGTGGAAATCGACCCCCGTCTTCCTCATGACGAGTAAGTGAGTGAGTATGGTTTTACGCCGCTTTTAGCAATATTACAGCAATATCACGGCGGGGGACACCAGAAATGGACTTCACACATTTTACCAATGTGGGGAATCGAACCCGGGTCTTCGGCGTGGCGAGCAAACGCTTGAACCACAAGGCTACCCCACCGCCCCTCCTCAAAACGAACTAACACTCTAGCATCTAGGCTACTTCATCGCCCCGGAGCAAAACACAGTGGTGCAAATCGTTACCATTTAGAGTGAGTGAGTGAGTTTAGTTTTACGCCACTTTTAGCAATATTCCAGCAATATCACGGCGGGGACACCAGAAATGGGCTTCACACACTGTATCCATGTGGGGAATAGACGCGGGTCTTCGACTTTAACCACTAGGCTATCCCACCATCCCTACCATTTGGACCAGAACATCTCAGGTAACAACTGGGCTACTCCATCACCCCTGAAGCAAGTCGTTATACCTCGTACCACTTTTGTGGAACTCAACCATGATTGTATGTACGATAGACACTGGCCCCAAATCAGGGCAAGTAACTACAGGTATGACGTATTGCAATTGTGTCATGAAACTACCCAACAATAGCACCGGTGTAGTAGTTCTACCACAGCCTGCCAAGTTAGTGCCAACTATATGTCAAAGTGTGTGAAGAGGCCATTTTTCTAGTTGCCCTCAACGATATACATCAGGTTTCTGAAATTCAGGCATTAACGTTGGTGGGACATGAACCTTACCTTTCACTCTTATTGGTCAAGAGTGTAAGTGACTTTAGTTTTAAGCTGCTTTTAGCAACATTCCAACAATACACAGGAAATGGGATTCACACAATGTACCCATGTGGGGAATCGAACCGGAGTCTTCGGCATGACGAGCGAATGCTTTAACCACTAGGCTACCCGACGAGCCCAATATTGGTCAAGTGGGGTCTGAGGAGATGGTACTTACAGTCTAAGTTAATGTTTTGCATGAGCATCGATCCTCTTATGACAAGCATGGGTTGCCCGGGACCAATTCTAACCGGATCACTTCAAGAAGAAAGTAGTCGATACTCACCTTCCAATGTACTGCAGATTGAGAGAATTTAGGAGCTTCAAATAACAAATTGAAAGGTAAAAATTATCATTACTGTACAAGAAAACGAAGATGACTGTTTAATTCCATTACCAACTACATACATACTGCAATTGTATTAATTCTGTAAAAAATGAAAAGGCGGACTGAAGGCCCCAATAATGGATGACAAAGGTCACCGTTGACATTTGGGTTTCCGAGCTCAAGAACTTACCGATTCTAAATAGAGTGTCCATGCTTCCAGTAAACGTTTTCCAATCTTTACGCCTGAACAGTTTAGAGAATTTGGGAGGAAATAATATAAGTTTGTTGGTCATGTCAGTCATTTCATGTGATGCTTGAATAAACTCGATGATTTTGGCACTTCGGTTGTCGGACAGGCAGCCCATGCGTTTCTCGTATAGGACCATCGATATAGCTGTAAGAGAGAGAGAGTAGATGAGTTGGGTTTTACGCGTCTTTGAACAGTATTCCAGTTAGTAAGATCATTGTGTGTCTGCCTAATGTGGGATGAAATCCCGAAGTGATGCAGGTCTCAGGTTAACCATTGGGGTGAAAATGTTTAGTTTTACGCCGCACTCCGCAATATTCCAGCTATATGGCGGCGGTCTGTAAATAATCGAGTCTGGACAATCCAGTGATCAACAGCATGAGCATCGATTTGCGCAATTGGGAACCACTGACATGTGTCAACCAAGTCAGCGAGCCTGACCACCCGATCCTGTTAGTCGCCTCTTACGACAAGCACGGGTTACTGTAGCTAAGATACATAGCGTTCACTAACATGAACGCTATGCAGCACCTCCATAGGCCGCAATGGTGGAAATCCTTTGTCGCACTTTCACGGACTCGTTACGATTTTTGAGTACGAAAAACTTATATGAATGACTTCTTTGTACTTATACCTACACGTGCGCCCTATTTTCTTTATCAAAATATCTAAAAATTGAAAATTTTAATATAAATTGTATATTTATATACTTATCCTATCTCACGGTAAGCACCTCTCTTCTTCTTCTACGACCATGTGTGGAAACGTGCTGTAGGCTAAGTTGAATCAAAAGTTATCTGGCCTCTGACCCCCCGACCTCTGCCCCCACTCCGATAGCAGTACCTGTCAATCATCTCAATAAGCGTGCAGATCGCTCAGATGATCACGTGACGGTCTGTGCCTGTCATTCTCGTCTTGGAGCTTCCAGTAATCTGTGATGTGGGGCAAGTCGGGTGGGTATCCATCGCGTGAGATAGGATAAGTATATAAATATATAATTTACATTATAATTTTCAAAATTTTAAACTTTTCCTATCTCACGGTATGCACAATCCCACGGTTGGTAGGAGGGCCGCAGATTACCCTGTCAATACTTACAACCGTGAAGACGCATAACCCAAGGAGGCCAGGAGAAAGCACCAACTCCCGATATGCAAACTCCAAACTTGAGATGGGTTTCTTCAGGTAACCCCTTGACTTACACAGCACAACAACTCTAGGGAGTGGGCGCTCCCGAATTAATGTGGTTTTCAGCCGCAACTTTTGACAAGCAAAAGGACGCAGTTTGGCAAGTAGGCCCCGCCGCCCCACGATTTATCAGGTGACCCCAGTGAATTAAAGTCGAGGACCTTAATCTGGCCAGTCCCTGCTTTGGAACTACCCACCACAGACACACGCTGGAAGGCGGTGAAAGAGGGAATAGCCCGGTTGCTCAACTATTTTAACGTTCAGTACCAATCCCCCTAACTTACCAAAGGTGAGAATGGACTTAGGAGCGGAACGCTTTGAAAACCATGTAGGTACTCAGAAATCAACCACTCCACTGGCGTAATTGCTCAAAGAGTAGAGGTCAGTAAGCGGAATGTCGACCATCTCTGCATGTAGCACAAGACTTGCCTCACAGTTCATCCAGTCATAGTGATGACAGTGCAAACACACCCTAGTTCCCTAGGTGAAAATGAGCTTATCCCAAATGAAAAGAGTACCAAGACATGGATTACATCGATATCTTTTATTATGTACAGAGCAAAACCGACCAAAGAAGGATTGCTTTATCTGCGAACGCGGTCCGATGACAATTGCTGCGCCAGGACCAGGGGGCCGAATTGATGTAGACCTTCCACATCTGTAACCGAGAGATCCCGCAGGTAGTGTGATGCGAACACAGTATCTGACTTCCAAAAACATCCCTCCATGATGGACTGGAGGGAACAATTCCTGTGAAGTGCCATGGTGGAAGCGAGAGCCCGAGTCTCATGAGGCTTCACCGTCGATGGTGGAGGTAGGTCAGCAAAGGCATAAGCACGCAGGATCGTAGTTCTCATCCAAAATGCCAAGGTAGTGCGTGAGACTTCCGAGGTGGAGGCAGTAGACAATGGAATGAACAATCTCTTACGCAGTCTGCGGCGATCCTGCGAGGCAGCCAGGTAAATCCGTAATGCTTGAACCGGGCATAAGGAAAGATCTTCTATGTCATCAGGGCCCAAGATAGTAAACAGTGGCGGGATCGTGAACGTGTGATCCGGCTGTCCAGGTAACTGATTCTTGGCGAGAAAATCCCACCGCAAACCAAGGAAAATTTTAGCATGTCTAGACCTCTCAAACCATATCCGAGAAACATCGAGAGCGTGCAACTCAGAAATACGGGCAGCTGTGGCCAAGGCCAAGAGAAAAAAGGGCTTAAAGAAGACATGTTCAAAATCTTTCTCCTCCAGAGGTTCATAATCAGCTGACGTAAGATGAGCCAGTACAACGGTAAGATCCCAAGCTGGAGGCCGGAACTTCTGAGATTGGTCAGCAAGTTTGTAAGACCTAAGGAGAGACTGGAGTTCAGGGACAGTGGACATCTTCACACCCGAGGCCGACGCAATAACCGTGTTAAGGGCAGCCAGGTAAGTAGATAGCATAGAACCTTTGAGACTTCTGGAGGTTCGGAGATGCTGAAGGTACTCTGCCTACATCTGCGGGGACGTCGTAGTGGCAGATGTGATGCCCTTCTTCCTGCAATACGCTTCAAAATTCTTCCACTTGTCATCATAGAGTGACCTAGTAGAAGTGCGATGTGCTGTAGTGATGGCAGTAGCAACACACCTTCGAATAGCCCTTAACGACTGATGTAAATGCACCAAGCGTGAAGATGGAGCGTGAGCGGGGACCAATGTAGCTGATCGGAGTGCGGATGCACCAGGAGATCGAGCCGATCGGGAAGTGGTACAGGATTTGTTTCGGCAAGGTCTTGAAGAGTTACGAACCAACTTGTGGCCGGCCAATAGGGCGCGACCAAAAGCAGTGTCATCCGCTGAGTTGCACGCAGCTTCGCTAGTATGCGAGGAAGAAGGGCCACTGGCGGAAACGCGTAAGTTTTCAGGTCATCCCACAGGATGGCTAGAGCATCGTGGTCCCAAGCCAGAGGGTCTGGAATCGGTGACACAAACAGAGGCAGCTGATGGTTGAACCGAGTGGCGAATAGATCCACTGTTGGAGTCGTCAACGGAAGGCAGAAGGTCTGGAACACCTGAGGATGTAATTTCTATTCTGTTAGAGAGGGACGACTCGGCCGGGACGTTCTTCACCCCCACAATGTGGTTGGCTCGTACAGAGATGTTGAGAGAGTCCACCAGGTCTAAGAACTGTTGAGTCCACTGCAGGAGTTGAGCAGACCCCGTTGACCCCATCCTGTTGATATGCCATACCACTGCTGCGTTGTCCGATCGGACCATGAGGGAAGTTGCTCGTAGGACATCTTGCCAGTGACTGATTGAAAGAATCACTGCCCTGAACTCCAGAACGTTGATGTGACAGGTGCGATCTGCGTAAAGACCACTGCCCTGCCACTTGTAGATTGAGAAGATGAGCTCCCCACCCGTGTTGAGACGCGTCCCCATACAGGTGGTGAGACGGAACAAACGGCCCTAAGCAAACTCCGACGCAAACATTTAACTCTTCCATCCACCACAGGAGATGGGGATGGAGCTCCGGAGGTAGAGTGATCAAGGCAACCGGATCGCCCACTCTGATATAAGGCGCTAGAAAGAGCTGCAAGGGTCGAAGTTGCAGTTGACCCCTGAGGGTCAATGCCTGAGCCGACGTCAAGAGGCCCAGGGCCCTCATGCCATTGACGAAGCGTCCTGGATTGCGCTAGTGCAAGGGAAACCAATCGCTGTATCTTGCAGAAACGATCCCTCGGACAAACAGTTTGTTGACCTCTGTGTCGAACACTGCTCCAATGAATTGCAGACGACGTGTAGGGACTATTTCCGATTTCTGCAGATTGATTAACCTGCCTAACTGGCGAAGAAGCTGTGTCGCAAACTGCATGTGACGAAGCAGAAGGGCTTGATCGGTCTGTGCCTGAATGCAGTCGTCGATGTAAGCTTCGAAAACTATCCCCTTGCGGTGGAGGAACCTGGTGATAGGCTTCGTCACCCGTGTAAACAGCCACGGGGCCGAAGAAATTCCAAACGGGAGAACACGCCACTGATAGTGGGTGCCCTCGAAGACAAACCGAAGGAACTTGCGATGAGCCGGGAAGATCGGGATGTGAAGGTACGCATCCTGGAGATCTAGACTGACCATGTAGTCTCCCGGTTTGATAATGGTCTTGATTAGGGCCACCGACACCATGCGAAAATGGGGCGGAGGCTGCAGAAAAATCTCATTGAAGACGCTTATTGAGATGATTGACAGGTACTGCTATCGGAGTGGGGGCAGAGGTCGGGGGGTCAGAGGCCAGATAACTTTTGATTCAACTTAGCCTACAGCACGTTTCCACACATGGTCGTAGAAGAAGAGAGGAAAAGAAGAGAGGAAAAGAAGCCCACCCCTACTTTTTCCAAATCATTTCCATGGAAACGACAAAAATATATAAGTAAAACATCTGCAAATAGCACAAGGCACCACTTTAGGTTCTGATTGATATTGATACCAATTTGTGTTGAAAAGTATTGAACGGTTTTGAAGTTCGGCTCCGGAAAAGACAAATGTGCACGGACGGACGGACCGCATTTTAATAACCACAAATGTGAACTGAGAAATATTTAAGGTTTTTGGGTATAAATGAAATTTATAGATAATTAATTCATGAACTCGTTAATTATTTAATGCCTAAATTCTAATAAGTCTTATTAGTAAACTGTGTTTTGTAGGCAAATATTCAGGAGTAGTACAGAAACACCCATGGAACTGTTATGGTGACAGCAATAATCCAATATTATATGAAGCATTGAAACCTCACCAGCAAAACAGCTGTTGAAAGAGCAGGGGTGGTCAGTCAGTCTAGATTGGAAACGAAATCTCCATACAATCGTTTTAACTGCCTAGAAATGTATGAAAATGTGTTGTAAACAAGCAGCGAGGTATGGAACTCGTGTTTTACTATTTTAGGGAGGGATATCCCCTTCGCGTCACAGGTCACGTGATTCAAAATGGCGCCACTCATATGTGAGCGATCGACTGAGATGTTTGATGGCTTCTAGATATTTATTTTTTAGATATTTTGATAACGAAAATAGGGCGCACGTGTAGGTATAAGTACAAAGAAGTCATTCATATAAGTTTTTCGTGCGCAAAAATAGTAACGAGCGTGCGAAAGTGCGACAAAGGATTTCCACTATTGCGGCCTATGGAGGTGCTGCATATAGCGTTCATGACATTGTTAGTAAACGCTATGTATCTTAGCTAGTGTTACTGAAGATCAATATTCTTACCCGGACCTATACGGGTATTTAAAATTAGATGATTGAGGAAGATATTGGTGAAACTAAAAAGAATGAGTTATAATATGAGTGCAGGCATGTGGACAGAGCACATAGTTGGCCCGCGGGCACAAGCAACACCCTATCATCATTGGGCAAATCAGCCTGGTTCCCTGGATATGCCGCGCTGGCGCTTTTCTTAGAGTAGCGCCAGCAATAAAGCGCAAGCGCAGCACCCAGGAAACCAGGCGATGGACAAATTAGGGGATACGGTAGCAGCAACAACCATAGACCTGCGGCAAATAAACAAACGTGTTTACACTCTAAAGCCCAGTTGAAGAGTTCGACGTCCAGATTCTCCACGACTCCTCCATTGGTCCCTCTGAGAGTTACAAATCTGTCGACCAAATCGGCAGCGACAGCGGTGAACCCCTCGCCGTAACTCTCAACTGTCTTCAACTTCATCAACGGCTTGTCAATCACGCTCCGTAGTCGATGCCATTCCTTTCCCTGTCTGCATAAAAGATGAAATATTTACAGTGACCTCTCACTAGTCGGGAACCCGTTAATCCGAGTGAGTGAGTTTAGTTTAACGCCGCACTCAGGAATATTCCAGCTATATGGCGGCGATCTGTAAATAATCGAGTCTGGACCAGACAATCCAGTGATCAACAGCATGATTATTGATCTGCGCAATTGGGATACGATGACATGTGTCAACCAAGTCAGCGAGCCTGACCACCCGATCCCAACAGTCACCTCTTTCGACAAGCATGGGTTCCGTTAATCCGAAACACCGTCTTCCGAACTATATTATGATCCTGCTGTTTACAGTGAGTGTAGTTTAACTCAGAATACAAAACAATTTCAACCATATAGCGACGAGAGTGAGTGAGCGGATATGGTTTTACGCCGCTTTTTGCAATATTCCAGCAATATCACGGCAGGGCACACCCGAAATGGGCTTCACTTATTTCACCCATTGGGGAATCGAACCCGGATCTTCGGCATGACGAGCGGACGCTTTAACCACTGGGCTACCCCATCGCACTATAGGGACAAGACTATATTGTATGTCTAATAACACAGTATCATGACAGGTCTAAACAATTACATTACTCAGTAACTAGACGGTCTGGTGGGAGATTGGGGTGGGGAGTAGGGGTGAGATGTTTGAAGCTAGGGATGGGCGGGGTAGGGGTAGTCGTCTATGGCACCGCAATCTGCTTACTAGTCTGTCTCAAACCTCACTGTTTTCCCTTCCGTCCAGCCCTAAAATATATAAAGCAAGTCTTGATTTCCTCAGATTCAGGCTGACTCTACCATCTCATATTGGCTCCTTTTCATCAAAATTATACATATTCATATACTTAGCGTTCTATCTCCTTATGTTCTTCTTAATAGCTTGCTAGAATGAACACTCGTCTCCAGTTTCTAAACCAGTCAGGAATTCCTTGAAGCGAAATACCCATCGGAGTGTGTAGCAACCGTTTCAGCAGCCATGGGTTGGGCAATGTTCTTTGGGTCAAGTGTGAGAAGTCCTCTAGTCTCTTTCAAGAACAGACTGCCGATATCCTTCATCACTCTACACGACTTCTCCACGTTCTCTAAGGACGCTCGTCCCTTTGGCAAGCAAGAAATGATGATAGTGAGTTCGAATCCCGCTTCGCAGAAATGTACCCTTGACTTTAACTATTTTATTTTTCTAAATGATTGCAACTCGCTCGCGAGAAGTCAATTAACAAATTTCACATGTCAGTGAAGGAAACAAACAAACTTTACTAAAAGTTTTTAAATCGACCAATCATAAATAATAGCACTTGTTAATCGGAAATACCGACCATCTTAGAAACTTGTTGCCATTTTGAAATGCCTAACAGGCAGCTAAAAGATCTTTAGAAAAGACGTAGTCCAACTTTCGTAACTTTCAAATTTTGGGGCATGTATTACAATCTGAAGAGCACTGAATAATTTACAGACCTAGTGGGGACCGTATCACCATCAATATGGCATAATTATGTAGCTGTAGGTATGTTTTATACTTACGCTGTAAAAAGCCCATCCGCTCGGTCAGCATCCCTGTTATATTCGTCCCAAGCTGGAAACCCTATCCTGACAGGATATTTTCCATCTTGGTGACGAAATTCTTTCAGTGCAGCTGGGTCTAAAATGTGAACTTGTTGAAATCCTCCCGTATCCTCCAGAAAAATTGGCCCCAATTTTTTGTGACGTTCGAGGAGCATGTCATGCCCAACACGGTAGTTTCTCGCGAACTCAAACATAGTGCCTACAACTGGCCAGCCCTTCACCCTCGGTATAGCGCTGATTGGTTTCGGCTCGTCTCCCTTCTCTTTCGCATCAGCTGTTGATAGGCCTCGAAACCAATAGAGCGGTCTCACCACAGCACATCGAACGACGCGGAACATGTTTCCAGTCATTAAAAGCTTGACGTTGTAAATCTTTGATGATGTAATGACGTTGACACTGTAACTATTTGATTGTCAGCGCGATGCCGATATGTTCACTGAAAAGCTAGTTTTGACACTTCCGCGTTTGAACTGGGGCAAACCAGCAGCGAGCAGTACACATTCCATTCGTCAATACTCGTATCTTTCCGTTCCCTATATGATGGGCGGGGACTGAACGAGTTTGCCAAGAGCGTTTACCACATTCATGACCAACTCGTGTTATTCCGGGACAAACCGAATGTTAGGTTGTTATCAGATAAAAAAGACAACAAAACACAAAGTAGATGTGCTCACAGTGTCAGTCGAAATAACATGGAGATATATATCACTTGATTAGAGGATACTCTATCGCGGTATTTTTATTTCTTTTTTGTTTTTTACCAACAAATACATACTCTTAACAGACCATATACATACAGTTCACATTGGATTGTTAAATGCATATTCAGGTAGTATATCGCATATGTATATAATAAAGTCATTACAGTGAGCACATCAACTATTGTGTGTAATGATAGTTAAATTTGCCATAAATTCTGCTCAGCAATATTCAGGTAGTATATCGGCAGTATGTCAATAATAAAGTCAGGACCAGACAATTCGGTGATTGACGTCGTGAGCTTCGATCAAAATAACTAGGATACGATGGACGCAATAAGTGAGTGAGTTTAGTTTAGTTTTACGCCGCTTTTAGCAATATTCCAGCAATATCACGGCGGGAGACACCAGAAATTGGCTTCACACATTGTACCCATGTGGGGAATCGAACCCGGGCTTTCGGGGTGACGAGCGAACCATTAGCAGGGATAATCTCGTCTTCTATTCTCCCTGCCACTAGGCTACCACACCGCCCCTTTTGCAATGAAGCCAGTCAACGAGCCTAAACATTCCCCGTTCATTTACGTCACCATAATTTTCGCCGCTTTGGTTCGTTTATAACACTGCGTACCACGTAATGTGGGAGGATGTCCGAAGTGGTGCAGGTATTTGACAAATCCCAAGAGCATGGCAGACCATTTTCACATTAATTAAGAAATCCAAGATATCGTCAATTGGTTTTAAGATATCTGTATTCTATTTAAAAATATCTTTACTGTTTTAAAGATATCTTTAAATAATCTATTCAAAATAGATATATTATCTCAAAATGTTATAGAGATATCAAGAGCATATTTTGCGATATCTCTAAATGTGTTTAAGATATCAATAAAACAATTACGATCATAGTGTACATAATTAGAAATTAATTCAAAATATCTTGACTTCAATTCAAGATATCTTGAAGTAATTTATACAAATCCACAAATACATAACAGATATCTTCAATTCAATTAGAGATATCGCCCATTCAATTTTCATTCAAGATGGAAGATCGTCGGGATCTGGTGGTCAGCCACGCTAATTTGGTTGACACATGTAATCGTATCCCAGTTGCGTAGATCGATTCTCATGAGTGAGTGAGTTTAGTTTCCGCTCATGAAGCGGATCACTAGATTGTCTGGTCCAGACTCGATTATTCACAGAACGCCGCCATGCATGTAGCTGAAATATTGCTGTTGCTGGGTGAACAACAAGCAAACAACTAAAATAAAATATATTATTTTGTACTTTGGTAGGAATTTATTCTTAGAACTATTACTTTTCTATTTTTCATTCATTATACATTTTTGTCTTTCATTCAATTTATCCTCGTCATCAGTAGTGTGTGTTTTCATTAGAATGTACTTACCACTGGTTGGTGATATTCAACAGAGATATTAGTCTTTGTAATTTTAGTCTGTCATACAGACCCTGAAACAAATATATACAAGAAAGCCCATGCAAGTCTAGAATAAGTGGCAAGTCTAGATTTCCACAGGTTCAATGACGAAAGTCTCAGGGCTCCTTTTCATTATATTTTATTTTGTTTATCATGAATTTGTTTGTCATGAAATATCCAATGCCCTATCATTTCTGTAAAATATGTTCATTTCAGAGACTAATTGTTGGTCTATTGCACTCTCAACATCTCTAATTAACCGCTTTGTCATTGCGCTCAGGTTGTCACGTGCCAGATACTAAGGGAATTAACTCTGTGTAAAGTATGCATTTCGAACACACTTGTGCAATCTTTCTAATGCAGACCTCGGGCTGTCGGAACTCACCGAAGAGCTCCGACTGAGCAAAATGGCGGAATCCAGGGAAGAAAACATTGTTGACGACGCGAAGATAGAACAGTTTTGTGCAGTGACAGGTGTGTAACTTATATGTGTTTCACAATTGAAATAAACATTCGCACTGATACTTTACCATGACATATGACATCACAAAACTGTCATATAGTTTTCTGGGTAACGTTGATTGTTTAGTCTTCAAAGTACGGATCATATCATGCTTGTTCAGTTAGCGAAATGTCAATACATAGCATCACTGTGGCTTCATGTTTGAGGATATTGCTTTTGGACTTAATCTAAAACTTGACATGAAAAGTTAGAAATATGTTTTGTAGTGAATTGGGGTATGGTTTCAGTGCTGATTAAAGGGCCACTGATCCAGAGCGATTAATGTTTCTCGCCAACAGTCTAATATTACGAAATCTAGCTGCAAATTGGTCAGCCCCTGCTCCCTCGACCGTGACCGACACGGGGACTGGGCTACTGTCCACCTTGACAGAATTTCTTCAACCTAATCAGTTAGGAAGGGTGGATGTCTTGTCTGATTGTAATAAAGTATCCCAGCAGTGTAGGCTTTTTAAGATTTTCAAATGTTTTGATGGTATAGTGACTGATCTAATTTGATCCTATTTCTGTGTTTTTTTACCTCAATATTTAATCATGTAAAATTATGATGTCTATTACGTATGCTATGATATGAAAAACACACATTTGATTTATTTGAATCCATAGACTATTCAATCCCACTAAGTACAGAGCAAATGCTTATATATATTTCGGCCTACCTTTAGAATACAGCACCACAAACTTTAAAAATACGTCATAATACCCTTTTCAGTTTGAGGCATATCGGCTCATTCCATGCCACACGTTAATTTGTAGTTTAGGGAATGGGACGAGTGTGCCAAATGGCATCGGATCCATTCGGCAATTGTCCGTAGAATAAAATCACGAGACACCAAGTCTACCCGTAACCTTCGTAATTGTCCGTGACCTATTCCACTCTTTCCGTTCATTTCCGTGACGTCACAGGAATGACTCGATACATTTGCACAGTGTGCAACAGTGTGGACGTAGCTCAGTCGGTTAGCTGTCGGGCTAACAATCCGAAGGTCGCGGGTTCGTGTCCGACGGGTTCTCACAAACTGGTTGCTTGTCTTAATGACACGTGACCTACGGCAGGGATCGTCCTCACGAGAAGTTTTGGTGCTGTATTCTAAAGGTGCTCCAATCAAACTTGCATGCAATACAGCGATTACTACTCTCTTGCTGTAACCCTTGTTTGGTGGTAAACCTACACATGTTATTTGTCATTCACTTGATGGTCAGTTAATGAATTTATAACAGGTGTAATTAGTGATAACACCACTCAGATTACGCGACAAAGATTCCCATTTGGCATTTCTTGTGTCTGGAGTAAATACTCATCGTTATAAATTGAGGTCTAATGTGGCAAATGTATTACATCTTATGTAATATGCGCATGGAAGTGCAGTAAGAGGAATTATCAGCTGAGTTACAAAACAAACATCGATCAAAGGATTAACCGATAACACGCACATTAATTAATTGCTTTTATCCTGCACAGCGGGTTTGTCAAAAGGTAGTGTTTATGTATGTAGATTTACTAATCTATACTGAATACACCCTGTCGTAAAGTGCCTGTGTAAAAACAACGCCCTTCCTTCAAAGGATTAACCGCCAATACATTGATTGATTGCTCATTATTGGCTAACTAAATTACTTTTTTAAAGAATGGAGGACATCATGCAATTAGTTGCCAGGTGTGCTATCTGGGTGACCAATGGGACTATACACCAATGTGGAAAACCTGAAACGATAGATCACTTTTTCGCATATTATTAGACTGTTGAAAGACACATGACATGGAACAGGATACTTGTCAGCTGCAGATAAATGGCATCTCATTCCTTTATGTGGATATTGATGGATACATTCCCTGAACAAGGTAATGGCCTGATATTGTTGCTACAACTTTAGTCTGTTTTAATTTTAATATTTGCATTTTGTTTTTATTTATTTGTTATGGCATTCAACAGAATCATTGTTTTCGCCGTGAAGTGTAATGAGACAGACAACATACACTAGGTCGCACTCAGGGTGTGTGTGTGAAATATAATACACGTTGGCAATCTATAAATGTCTAGATATTACAGTCACGTATAAATTCACTAAGTATAAGCAGATCGTGTGCATTTTATTAAGTTTCAAGATGCATACAAATATGATAGTAAACTAATTAGGATTATAAGACAAAGTATAAAGACGTACATTGACTTTGTTATTTCAGTCCTAACATTTTTTATAACACTGGCAGATGGTTAAACTTAAAATGTTTTCATTTTGTTATGAAAATAATGCCATTTAATACAACATTCAGATGAACTAGTAGTGAACCCAAGCTCACTACTCTCCCCAAGACTCCCCATGTACTTAGTTAGCCTTACTTTAAAAAACAATGCTATTATATCAGGCTTCTCACCAAATTCAAGATCAAACTATTTCTTGAACAAAATTCTACATCCATTTACGTTAACATTTTTATAAAGTCAACATTACTATGAAATCAAAATTTTACATCAAAATCAGCATTTTTATCAAGGTGAATATTTTTTTATAAGAAACCAAATTATTCATCAAAGTCTACATAATTTTACAACAAAATCAACATAAGATTATCGAGTAAAAATATTTCATCTTTGTTGATCAGTCTATACTTATGCTATCAATTGCGCATGAGGGTGGCGCAGCAGAGGTAACGAACCAGTCATGAAGTCTGGGATATCATTTGGGTAGTCATTGGAGAAAAACAATAACAAAAGCAACAACAAGTCCACGGAAAGTGCTCTGGATCAGTGGCCCTTTAACACGTACCATTATCTTGAAAGTGAAAGTGAATAAAAATAAAAACTGTTCAAACAATATCATTCATATACAACCCTAAATACAATGTTCTAACAAGTTCTCAAGTCAAATAACAACAGCGTTAATTATCTTCAGTTGTATTTTCAAAACTCCTAAAGAGCTGTTTATGGTATTTAGAAGTGATACACAGTAATGGTAAAATGTATGGTCAACTACTGTAATGTGTGAAACATGAGTATATTCTTACTGATTCATTAGGTGAATGAAACCAGGGTAGCAGACTAGGGCTTCAACGAGTCCATTTTTCTGGACACTCAAGTACTCGAGGGGTGAGACTCGACTCGGACCTGAGTACTCGAAATTCATACCTTTTAAGCAAGCGATAGCGTAAATTGCATGACGTGTTCCGATCACACAAGTGAACACTTACTTCTTTCCGACTTCATATCGCCATGTGACTAACATTTCCTATTGGTCAGAATCAGTATTTGGATGTTTACTTGACAAATGTTTTTTTCTTCTTGTACTGCCTGCAAAACGCAGTGATATACCGCACAGGCAGCATTTGGTTATTTTGCTCTTTTCACTATCCAGATCAAGATACGCCCATACATTTGATTTTTTATCTTTCTCCATGTCTATCAATTGTCAAGATAGTTACCTAATCATTTTAAGAAGTGAAATCTCAAACGATCTTTAATATTTACTCTCATCTGCAACTAATACCATACAGCCACACCGTGTGAGGAGTAAACTATTTAATCTAGGTGTTAATAAAAACATTATCAGATGGGTTAAAGAATTCAGGGTACATAGAACTCAGTATGTCAGTGTCAATGGCTATCAATCTTCTTTGCTCTCAACCTCTACTGGAGATTCACATGGCTGTGTTCCTTCATCCGTACTCTTTGTTTTGTATACCAATGACTGTTACTTGTCAATATATGACTTGTTCACTGTGAAATTTGCAGATGACGCCACTGTTACTGGCCTAATTTCTGATTCTGAACATTATTATCATCAAGGCATTGACAAAACCGTAATGACAGTTTTTTATCAAACCTTTATTCAAAGTGTGTTGACCTACAATTTCCTATGTTGTTATGGGGATCTGTCTCATCGCAACAAAACAAACTTTCAAAATTGTTAATACTGCTTGCAAAATTTATGGGTTGTCTTTTCGAAAGTATACTCCCTTTATCTATGAGCCACATTGTCAAAAAGGCAGCTAAAATTAGATTTGATAGTTGATATATTTGATCTCACCATTTTGAACTAATTCCTTCTGGACGCTGCTGTCGATTACCTTCCCTCAAAACAGAGCTCGACAGTCTTTCATACCATCAAGTATTCGTGAATGCAACAAATATTTTGAATCACCATCATGTGATTAGAACTAGAATTATTCAGCCTCTTTACCATGTGGTTATTTGAATTATATCATGTCAGTTTTATTTGTAAATAACATTCGTTTTGAGCATGTAATTATTGTGTATATTTTTGTGAACTGTGTATATATTCATTTTGAGACAGTTTGGATGTATAAGAATTTCCTCCGGGATAATAAAGTTATATCTTATCTTAATATTAGACGTTAACGTCCGCTCATACTTAGCACATGGCAGACAGTCTGTCAACGTCAAATAATCAGAGTTATCTCCCCTTTTCGAGTCCTCGAGTCCTTGAAGATGGACTCGAGTCCAGCTAGACCCGACTCGTCCTCGAGTACTCGAGTACCCGTGGAAGCCCTATAGCAGACAGTTATATATGAAAAATTGTGAAAACGACAAAAGTGATAGATAACAAAGCCAGACTCTTAACAAGAGGTGCCAGTATTTAAATGACGCTGATAATCTTCAGTTGTCTTTTCAATCTCCTGTAGGGACGAGCTGAAGTGTACCAGGGTAAGTGACTGCCATTTACCAAGAGTTTGCTACAAAATTTGGGAATTATTTTACTAGAGCTGTGTAAAAACCAATTTAGATGCAAGTATAAAACATTAATCATGTGATGTATGCACCTAAGTTGCTTGCAGCTATATTTTTATTCAGAAATCAGAAGAAATGCATGCACATCCATTAGGAAATAAGGTCATTAGCACTTTATGGTGTAATCTTTGTGTTTTACTGCTATTTAAAAAAAAATGTCATGTGACTGACTACAAGTTGTGGTAATTCAGTCAGTACCCAGGTCC